CGTGGAAGTACTGACTTTACTTTGAGTTTGATTCCGTAAAAAGTGACAAAAACATTTTACAGCAAAAAAAACCCTAAACTTCCGAGCAAGCACCGAGCACGCTGCCACGGGAATGTGAAATTCACAGAGAAACTCGCGGATTCTTCCACTGACGGCTGTGGCACACCTGCACCAGGGCAAACATCCGCCTACCCCACTCCTGCTATACAGGTGAAAATAGAGCAACAGGACCGCTGAGTCTTCGATTTTATTTATCTTCTGCTGTGTTTTACTTGCATTTATTTGAAAGACTGAGTAAACACAAAAAACTATTTTATTTTATGTGCTGGAATATGCAGAAAATAGGTTAAACAAATTTCTTCCAGTCAGAGAAAGTTGCATATCATTTAATGTTTGCTTGATGCATAAAGTTAAAAGATTAAAACTAATAAAACAAGTTTTAAAAAGAGACTTTTCCATTTGATTACATTTTATATGATGGATTATGCAGGAAAAGTAGAATTGGGCTGAAAGATCTATTCAGGTTGTAAATCATGTTTTTAAAAAGTAACTAAGTAACTAATTACTTTATAAAATAAGTAATCAGTATGCTGATTATATTATTATATATTATAATATAATATATTATTATATGTATTACTTTTTGGGGGAAGTAATCAGTAATTAGTTACTGATTACTTTTTTCAAGTAACTTGACCAACACTGTAATTATAATACCAATACATACATTTTAGACTGATAAGAATGACATAATGCCCATCTACATAACCATGCAACATGTTCATGCACATCTAATACACATACATTTGTCCTTTGTGGAGTTTTTGTTGTTATTGTTTTTATTTCATTTTCCAATTGCCGTCTTTGTAGATTCTGTGAATCTGTTTCCTGTTTTATGTTCTACAATAATAATAATTTTAAAAAAACCAAAAAAAACAACTAATGTAAGTTCAAAGGTCTTTGCTTCTATTGCTTTGCTGATAGTATGTTATTTGCCATAAGGTGTTCAGAGTTATTGATACCAGTGTAACCAGAGAGGAGAATGTATATTTTAAGTATATAACTTTCTACAGGGCTGAATATAACATCATTATGTAAAGGTCCAGATTCTCTGTGCTTTATCTGCAGATGATGTGCAGCACTTCTAACATCACACAAAGCAAAGGTTACTATCACACTGTTCTTGAAGTGCTGGGTTTGTTCATCTTCTGGGGCAGGACCATGGCAGAAATCTGAAAAAGACTTCCCTCTGAGGCAGCTCCTCGTGAAGCGTCCTGCTTGATCCCTGCAATGAGCTTCAGTCCGCCTGATGTTTTTGAAATGATGTCTCAGTGGGCCAACAGAACATCTGGCTCAGGACAGCTGTCTGATGTTCTCCCTCACACTCCCTCACCCAGGGTGAATGTATCTGTTGATAACAGTGTGGACTAATGTGGATCCTGTGATTAAATGAAAAGAACAACTTACACTTCTATGAAACCTTCTGCTGCTGTGTTTTCAAATCTAACATTTTATTTAAAGTTTCCAGAATACCAGAGTTCTTTGTCAGTGTAATAGATCTAAAATGGTTTAAATGTTCAGTTTCATATCATCGTCCGTCTTATGTCAAAATCTCAAAGGACATAATTTAATTTCCAGATAATTCTGATATTAACAGGAACTCTGGGCCTCTGTGGAGTGTGCAGCTGATGCCATCGCTGTCTAAAATAGGATAACAAAAACTATGCAGTGCTGAATCATTCAGACATTCAGAGAGTAACATGGGTGATTATCATTGCCAACTAGTTTTTAACAAGACTCTAACACAATGCATTTCATTTAGCCTCTGAACCCTGGATTCAAAATGACAGGATACATGGCCCCATTCATTCTGTCCTTAACACGGATCAGTCGTCCTGTCCCCTTGGCAGAAAAACAGCCCCATAGCATGATGTTTCCACCCCCATGCTTCACAGTAGGTATGGTGTTCTTGGGATGCAACTCAGTATTCTTCTTCCTCCAAACACGACGAGTTGAGTTTATACCAAAAAGTTCTACTTTGGTTTCATCTGACCACATGACATTCTCCCAATCCTCTGCTGTATCATCCATGTGCTCTCTGGCAAACTTCAGACGGGCCTGGACATGCACTGGCTTCAGCAGCGGAACACGTCTGGCACTGCGGGATTTGATTCCCTGCCGTTGTAGTGTGTTACTGATGGTGACCTTTGTTACTTTGGTCCCAGCTCTCTGCAGGTCATTCACCAGGTCCCCCCGTGTGGTTCTGGGATCTTTGCTCACCGTTCTCATGATCATTTTGACCCCACGGGATGAGATCTTGCGTGGAGCCCCAGATCGAGGGAGATTATCAGTGGTCTTGTATGTCTTCCATTTTCTGATGATTGCTCCCACAGTTGATTTTTTCACACCAAGCTGCTTGCCTATTGTAGATTCTAGTGATGGCCCGCTTGAAGCTGAAGCTCCGGTGCGTGTGTCAAAAAAATCAACACACTGCTTCAGAAGCACTGTGTCGAAGTTTGACTCGTTTGGCCAGAGTCACATGATCAGTGACGTCCGAAGCTTCATTTAGAGCCTAACTGCTTCGGTGTCTGATTCAATGGTTTATAAGGAAGTGAATCATTCACGGGATTTGTGGAGCGTTTTGATGGTGACAGCGAACCACTGATCATTCCACTGAGAGATTTGGAGCCAGTGAGGAATAGAGGAGGTTCTGTTGTGTGGGAGAATTTTGAGTTGATTTTTGTCAATCGGGTGGGTTTTCCAGCTTTGTGTTCTGGTCATTTGCTTTTGTTTTGTGCGTGTTTATTATATCTGAAAGTGGGAAAAAGGTAAAATGTCAAAAATCTGCTTCCATAATATAAATATCATTAAATAACTTTAGAAAAACTTCCACTTGACTCTTTACATGTAATGTTATAAAAATATATATTTTATTGTTTAATTAATCTGAAAATGTTAGTCTGCCAAATGTGCAGCAATTGAATTTATTTATTCTCTTTAGCTGATAGTTTGTAGGGCCCAGGTAGACTGTATAACTGCATCTCTACCAGTTTCTCTGCACTCCAGCCTCCTCTGGGTCATGTGAAGGGATTTTCCTTAAGGCAGGAGAAATTATCTCCACGAAAAGGAACAGGTTCGGCCATCGCACACTAGAACAAATTTTCTTTTTAAATAAAAATGAGAAAGGGTTACCTTAAATGCATCATGTTTTTAATTTGCAAGTTCATAAGCATTTTCCTTTTCCATTTCACAATCAATTCTACCCCCAGGTCAAAAATATGTCTGGGGAAATTTCCCTAATATAATATTATTTATAAATACACCTGTCTAGCGATTGATTGCATAAGTGCATGGAGGCAGGACCTCAGAGCAGAAGCGTACTCCATAATGTGCTGTACATTATTATATGTATATTATATGTAACGTGGTATTTTTCAATTATTGCATTTACCTACATCAAGAAGTCACAAGCAAAGAAAGACCACACCATGGTGCATGTTTAAACAAGGAGAGTTTACTGGTCAAAACTATTTATTAAACAAATAAAACACATTTTTTAACCACCAAAAAATACACAAATACACGTTCAAAGCAACACAACAGCGGCCCAATATCAGACAAAACTCCACTCTGTAGAGTAGGCAATCGTAATGAAGCAGTTGGTTTTATTTTGTGGATTCAAGCTGCTCTTCGTGTTTTTGGCCACCAGATGTCACCAGAGAGGACTGTGTTGAAAAGCTTCGAGTAATGAACCGTTTTTCAATACAAGCTTCAGTGCTTCGGAAAGCTTCATTTGGCCATCACTAGTAGATTCACTCTTCCCAGTCTGGTGCAGGTCTACAATACTTTTCCTCGTGTCCTTCGAAAGCTCTTTGGTCTTGGCCATGGCGGAGTTTGGAGTCTGACTGTTTGAGGCTGTGGACAGGTGTCTTTTATACAGATGATGAGTTCAAACAGGTGCCATTCATACAAGTAACGAGTGGGGGACAGAAAAGCTTCTTACAGAAGACGTTACAGGTCTGTGAGAGCCAGAGATTTTCCTTGTTTGAGGTGACCAAATACTTATTTTCCACCCTAATTTACGAATAAATTCTTTACAAATCCTACCATGTGGATTCATGGATTTTTTTTCCACATTGTGTCTCTCACAGTTGATGTGTACCTCTGGTGCAAATTACTGACCTCTGTCATCATTTTAAGTGGGGGAACTTGCACAATCGGTGGCTGACTAAATACTTTTTTGCCCCACTCTATACAGTGTAAACAAGGCTGGAACCTAACTTGAGCCTTGAGGTACATCATAATTAAGAGGGGCTATTTTCGAGCTGTAGGGACCACTGTTCACATAAAAAGTCCTTCCAAATAAATACGACCAAAACCACTGAAGAGCAGACCTTTTAAGCCAGCAAGTGATTCCAGCTGTGACAGGAGGAGGTCAACTGTGTCGGCCTCTGTCAGGTCCAACAACAAGAGGGTAGCAGGGCTGCCAGAATCCAGAGTTAAGAGAATAACGTTAAAAACCCTCAAACGTCAACAGTAATTCATTGACTTGAGCAGCACTGTGCCACTAAATGAACATGTTGTCATTTCCTATTGTAGGCTGACAAGGCACGTGATAAGTGCTACATCTGAATACCTGTTAATGACAAATACATTCATTTCTTGAAAAATCTACTTCACTCAGTTTATTATGTGACTGATTTCGAAGTAATTTTTCCCCATGCTGCAAAGCTGCAGATATTTATTTCAGTATTATTCGTATAGCAACTTACAACCAGTAACAAGCAGCAATTGGTGACACTGGGAAGAAAAAACAGAGAGCACTATTCTTTCCAAAGATGAAGTAACATATTTAATCTAGTACACCTTACACACATGTCCTAACACTTAGATGAATATCACTAATTATAACAATACTGGGGAGAATAATAATATTTTCTGCCAGATAACACTCCGGGCCAGCAGGTGGCGGTAATAGACTAGCGGCATGTTTATTTTCCTCAAGAGCAACAAGGAAGCAGAAGTAGTTGTTTATGCTAAATGTTTGTAGCTGTTCGACTTTATGTGAAGGGATATGATTCCTGGTCTCACACTGATTTAACCACTGACAACGTCGTTAGCTGGCTCTAGAGCAGGAAGAATGGCAGACGAAGCTCCTTTCCAGTTATTACACAGCGAGGTGATACAGTACATTTACAAGTCAGCAGAAGGAGAGACGGTAAGAAGCTCTCAGTAGGAGTTTAGTGACCTATTTGGTGTTGTTGTTAATGTTTCTGTCTTTTATCCTGTATTTAGGAGAGTGGGAGAAATGTCACTAAATTGGAGAATATTGGATTCAGAGTGGGCCAAGGGCTGATAGAGAGGTAATAACCTTGACTGCTGCAAACATGCATGCCGTTTACTTCGACAAATCAAAGCACTACATGTACAAAGCCTGATTTACAACATGGATTCCCATTCAGAAAATGCAATCGAAATGCACAGCTGTAGGTGGGGGGCCATTAATGAACCATTAATGAACACAACAAAAAAAACAAAACAAAAAAACCCCCAGAGTCTCTGGGGTTCAGATCAGTCGAGTCGGCTGGCCAGTCAGGAAACAATATTACACTCGTGGTGTTGTCTTTAGAGCACCAGGGTGTTTAAAGTCAACTTCATGATTTATCGGTCAAAAGTTGCGAAAGAAAAATGTATGAAGACTTAAAATATCATGTGACATTTAACACTATATTGCCGAAAATATTTGGTCATAAACCACATATGAACATGAGTGATATCCCATTCTTAATCCATACGGTTTAATGATGGTGTTGACCCACTCTATGCAATTATAACAGCTTCAGTTCTTCTGGGAAGGCTTTAGAAACCCATTCCACGAAGCTCTCAAAGCACTGTTCTTGAGCTGATCTGAAGGCCACATGAAGTTTGGAGGTCTGTAATGACTGACGTTGGCAGCCTCTGCTCATTATGCGCCTTGCCATTCACTGCTCTGTGAGTTTATGTGGCCGAACACTTTGTGGCTGTGTTGTTGTTGTTCCCAGCGCTTCTACTTTTTCTAATATCACTAACAGTTGAATGTGGAATAGTTAGCAACGAGGAAATTTCATGACTGGGCTTGTTGCACAGGTGGCATCCCATCATGTTATCAGGCTGGAATTGAGAGATCCTGAGAGAGAAATATTTGTAGAAGCAGTCTGTATGCCTGAGTGCTTGATTTTATATACATGTGGTTAGAACACTTGAAGTCAGTGATTTGAACGGGTGAGTGAATACGATTGGTAATGTAGCGCATAGGAATTCTAAATATCAATTTGGATATTTTTGTTACTTTGGACTAGGGATGGGTGATATATTGAATATACTCAGTATTAAGCTGTCTGCATGTAATTCACCATGACTTTTTTTCTCTCCCACACGTTGCAAATGCGTCATTAAGCCTCTACATCACATTTTTGTGTATGTTATAAGCACAAAAGAACACCTTTTTAATTTCAATTGTTTTATTTTCTCTCGTGAATTCTTGCTTGATGCACTTTTTTGTTGCTGTGATCAGCAGTTTCTAAAATACTCAAACCAGCCCCTCTGGCACCAAGAACTGTGCCACATTCAATGTCAGTTTTCTTCCCCATTCCTGTGCCCAGTTTCAGTTTGATTTGGTGCCATTATATTGGCTGATTAGATACTTACCCTAATGAGCGGTTGAACTATTAAAATATGTTAATGTTAATAGTTATGTTAATATGTTAAAACTGTTAAAATAAAAATTTTAATTCATTCAGATTTTTTTGTATTCAAAGTAGAAACAAATATATTGAATGGTCGATTTGAATGAGTATACCAGTGCAATTTTAGGCACTATATGGTTGAAAATAACTTTTATTTTTGGAGGTTATTTAGACATATATTGTGTATCATGATATTGGATTTTCCTCAAATCACCCATCCCTACTTTAGACAAGGATCAGAGTCAAACCTTCATAAAATGTCTTTGTTTGCCAACACTTGTGAAATTATGTATAGGCATTCTAAATATCACATTGAAATACCACATCATATTTGATCTATGATTTCTCTTTTACATTTTACATTTGCCTTTCTTTCAAGTTGACCCCAACATGTGTTAAATTTTTAAAGAAAGAGAAAGAGCTGCCTAGTTGATAGACATCACATTATGACCCACCATCTAATATTGTGTTGGTCCCCAACACAATATTAGGTGTGGGGGACCAACACAGGGGAAGTGAACACGGAATAAACTTGTCTGCTTTCGCCATCTCACCTCATTATGAAGATGATAAAATGGTGAGTACAAATCTCTGAAGAGCATAAAAGATGCCGCCCAAAATTGGTTCTGTTCATCTGGACATAGTGTTTTCAGTGGGAGAAACATTTTGTCTTTTTTTTTTTTTTTTTTTTTTTTAAACAGCTTTTT